TTGTTTCCTATGAAATAGACAATAAGTTTGAGTAATATAATTTAACTTGTTCGATTTTGCTCTTTAATATTTAAGATTAATTTTAATTGTTAAATACTTTTTGGTACAATTACTTATTGTAAGAAACAATAAGCAAACGTTATGGAGACAATGAAAATTTTACTTAAATTGAAAATTGACGGTCTTAAAATATCAGGGCTATGAACAATTCGATACTTTATGACATCTCTATATCAATTTTAGAAATTTCAATCGAACCATATAGTTCTCGATTTATTTATAATTTTTATATAAATTATCTTTCTTCACCGATGATAGAATGGTCTATGTTGAACCTACTACCCTTTGGCGGAACATTATTTTTGGGAAAGCATATTCTTAATATGGGATTGGACGAGTCTTAGTTGTCCAAACACGTGACTACAAATACAAGAAAAGAAAAGAGAATTTGGGAACCTTGAAAGTTGAAATGGATGAGTTTTAATTGGCCTGTCCGAAAATGGAAAAAACAAGAAAAATAAGAAAACAAAGTGGCGATTAATTTGTCCTTTTATATATTTTTGTTTTTCTTTTGCCTCTTTTGTTCACTTGTCCTATTACTTGTTTGTTTCCTATGAAATAGACAATAAGTTTGAGTAATATAATTTAACTTGTTCAATTTTGCTCTTTAATATTTAAGATTAATTTTAATTGTTAAATACTTTTTGGTACAATTACTTATTGTAAGAAACAATAAGCAAACGTTATGGAGACAATGAAAATTTTACTTAAATTGAAAATTGACAAAAATTTTCTAATGAAATCTTGCACGTCCAACTAATTGAGGTGGGCAGGTTAAACGACTAATGTATTTCACTTTTTTATACAACTTTTTCAACTAACGAAGTTGGTCGAGTAAAGGGTTAAACTGAAGGCCATTTCTAATAAAAGAAAATTACTTATTTTGACAAAAACCATAATCGAAATCACCTACGCCCGCTTTCAGTAAAAGTTCAAACAGAAATAAACAAATACTTATTTTGATGAAAACTAAAAAGAAATTATCATAAAAGACAAAAGTAAAAAAATAATAATAATAAAAAAAAAACCTCACAGGGAGAATGATAAATGTTCCTCCATCTTCTTCCTTGGATGTACAAGAAAACTTCCATCTCTCTCTCTCTTCCTTCACTGTGTAAAAAAGGCATCTCACATTGGTCGATGATTTTATGCTCCTTTTTGCAATGCAATCATAAATTATCTGTCTTTCTGTCTCTATATATAAAAATTGAACTCTGCATCAAACATACTTTGCCTTGAATACCCATTAGCTCTGATCAGCTTTCTTTCCGATGTCCCTATATGTTAATTCTCGTCAAAGAGAGTATAGAAAGAGAGAAGAAGAGATGTTTGATCTTAATCTGAGCATTGATTTGAATGGGAAAGTGAATTTTGAGGAAGATGAATCCCCTGTAACGTCGACTTCATCTGTTGTAAATGGGGAAGGCTCCAGCACGTGTTCCCCCGAAACCTCGTATACATTCAACTTCGCCATCCTCGATAGAAATAGCCCAGTTGTGAAGGATCGTGGCTTGACTGTACCGGAGCCCGTGACTCGGGAGCTCTTCCCGATGAGTGAAATCGGTGAGTTGAACATGGGGAAAGCCAATAATAATGTTGATCAACGAAGAAAATTGGTACAACAGCAGAAGCTGCAGGTGCAACATGTACAGCCCAAGAAAAGTAGAAGAGGCCCACCTTCCAAGAGCTCACAGTACAGAGGGGTCACTTTTTATAGAAGAACTGGCAGATGGGAATCCCATATTTGGTAATTTTTTCTCGTTTCAATGAATCCAATAACGAAATTTATTTTTTTAATTTTGTATTAATTATTATTTTGGGTGCAGGGATTGTGGGAAACAAATTTATTTGGGTAAGGATGTACTAATTTTTTTTTATTTTTATTTTCTTTTAGTTAGTTTCTATATTTGGTAAATATTGATGGGTTTTGTTTTTAGGTGGATTTGACACTGCTCTTGCTGCCGCCAGGTAAATTATCAATTTTTTTTTATTTTTTTTATCTTCAAATTATATTATTAATTCTTACGAAATTTAATTTTTATTTCTTTAGAGCATATGATAAAGCTGCAATCAAGTTCCGGGGTGTTGACGCCGATATTAATTTCAATCTTGGTGACTATGAAGAGGAAATTAATCAGGTTAGAAAGGAATATGATACAAAGAAACGTTCGTTCTAGTTCAGTTCCTTATCATTCAGATTATCGAACTTTACCATAATGGTGCAGATGAAGAATCTGAGTAAAGAGGAACTTGTGCAAATATTACGACGTCACAGCACTGGTTTTTCAAGAGGGAGTTCCAGGTACAGAGGGGTTACGCTACACAAATGTGGCCGATGGGAAGCTCGAATGGGGCAGTTTCATGGCAAAAAGTAAGAATCTGTATTGAACCTGCAGAATAAATAATTATGAACTAAGAATTCATGGGAAATAATAATTCTTGAGAAGATTTGAGCATAATTTGAAACAAGAAATAAATGGGAATTGGATTTTTATGGTGGGGATTGCAATGCTTACACTGCAGGTATATATATCTTGGGCTATTCGACTCTGAAGTAGAGGCTGCAAGGTCCTAATAATCATAAATTACACTCATTTCTGATTATAAGTTTGTTTTTCACTCAATTTCTCGATCGCAATTGGGCGTTATCCAACTCGTTTTTCCGTTTTTGATTTTCTGCAACGTAGGGCTTATGACAAGGCGGCCATCCAGTGTAATGGAAGGGATGCTTTTACTAACTTTGAGTCGAGTAAATACGATAGGGAAAGTATGCTTGAAGGTATAGATCGATATAATTTCTATATTGTATCGGGTTTGCACTTTTATGTTCGAAAGAGTTTGTTCGTTATACAATACAAACTACGCAGGTAGCCAAAATGATCTAGACCTAAACTTGGGGATTTCGACCTCTTCCCCAAAGGAGAATGAGTGTTTGGCATTGCCTCAGTTCCAACCTTACGATGTACAAAATGCAAGAAAATCGAAGGTACGATGAATTCAATAATACATTTCTTTGTAGTAGCATTGTTGATAAAAACACTCTATTTGCTCTTGAAGATACAGATGGATTCACCTCTTAAGGGACTGCCATTAACGACATCGCGGGCTGGTCTAAATCCTAACTTAGTTTCCTTCTGCGAGGTAAATTTATCGACTGTGTTAAGATTTATAGGCTCCATTTGACAACTGCACCATCTCCATTTTAATTCATTTACCGGCCACGAAAAGGAGAGTAATTTGGGTGAAATCTAATACAGTTCCAACTTTCATGATCAAAATGATCCGGGGTGTGTGACATTAATTTTGAACAAGAATTCATTTGTATTTAGGTAAACAAAGTGATTGGAGTGATAAATTTCTGAATCTTGATTTCTTAATTGTGGTTGAGAAACTGAGGAAATAAAAACATGCCAGACGCGTCTAAGATTATGGGATAATTTGGCAGGAAAGGGTGGCGGAGAAGAGAGTTGAAGTTTCACAAGGACTACCCTACTGGGGGTGGCGAGTGGACAGTCAAGCCATTCCAATGGCGATTTTCTCTCCTGCAGCATCATCAGGATTCTCGTCACCAGCTACCACTTCTCTCTCAACAGACAAATCTCTATACCATCTTCAAACTAGGCCACCCCCATAATGTCTCTCTGCCTGCTTGAAATGTGGATGTGCAGAAGTTCGGAAACGTTTCAATTCTGCCGAGGACTTGTGTCGCTGTCTGGTGCCAGTGGGATGATCGGCCGAACAGAGGCTAATGGTTTTTATTCTTTTATTGGTGTTGTTGATATTGTTTCTAATCTCGAAAAGATTTTTTAGTTTAAAGGAGCAAAAATCATTAGCACATCGCGCTGTGCTAAACTTGCCCGATAGTAGTAGTAATCTTCATCACGTGTCATATCATGTGCCAATAAGAAAGATTGAGGCATCCTTGGGATGAATTGAAATAAGAAGTTAAAAGAAGTAAAGAAACGAAAAGGAAAGCAACAGGAGGGATGAGTTATGGGTTGGAAGGCTTGGGGTGAGCCGAGAAGATGCAAATATTTTTCTTTCTATTATGGATTGTTATATTTTCACCACGAAGGTGTTTTTAATTCCACCGCACTTCTAATTATTTTTATGAGACTTAATCGTATTAAAGGTTTCAACATTTACTTATTATTGCACTCCAGTTTCTATAGGGCGTAGGCCTCCCAAAAGGTAACAAAGGCGTGCAAAGGTTTCCTTGGGCCGGACAGGATGTCTTATCGTCAACTTTTCATTTCACTAACTAACACACCAACTTCTGCTCATGTTGTTTCCTTTTCGTGATTTTGGTTTTTATATTTTCATTTCAAAAACACTAGCAAAACTTTCGAACTGGTGATTATATTCACACATTTATAGAAGCTTTTAGTCTTTACTTATTGTCATGTTTATATTCTTGGGACAAATATTTATTTTAGTTTTCATTTGTTTTTCTTCTTCTTTTTTTTTCTTTTGCTTATTTATAAATATAATGTCACAAGTCTTCTTGCTGGAATTTTTGAACGAAAATCATTGTTAAATACGAGTGTTAATTTGAAAAAGAATGTAATGAAAAAGTTGAGAATGGAAATGTAATAATGAGTTAAGATTATGACCTTTCATGTAATTAAATTGTGATGTAATTATTAAAAATGTAGTACAAATACATCTAACCTAGCTTCTTCGTTTTTTTTTTTCTTTTCCAAATTTAAAAGCAAGTAATAAATACTTAATTTTATGACATTTGATGGAAGTCCTCAAATTTGGTACGCTTATTGTGCCCTTGTTTTCACATTATTCGTAGTATTTTCTTTCCCCATATACTATTGACAAACTCAAAATTACTGCATTCTCAATAACACGCTTTATTATGGCATTTTATAATTACATATTTTCCTCCAACCATTTTTTGGTACTCGTCCATTTCACCATTTCCACGTTGATTCAGCTACAGATTTTTCACCAGCATGTGAATTCATTGAATTTTGTGAAAACGATCTCGATCATACTCTCAAGTAAATAAGCAAAAACAAAACTATAAACTTCCCATTTTCGAATTTTTGCCTACACACAAATCAATTTTCACCACTGTGAAAGAAAGTATTTTCGATCACCTCTGTAGAACAACTTCAAACAAACTAACAAGCTTTAGCATTACGAAAGAAAAGATCACAAGCTGATTTCATCGTGCACAACATTGCTTGCATGACCATCACATTAGGCCTGAATCTCAAGCACCCTTTACCTGAAAATATGAGGGTGAAAGGCTATGAACAAAATGAGCAGTGTGCAAATAATAATAGTAGTAGCAGTAGCAGTCTATTCATGTCCAGATTAACATCTCAAAACTCCATTATTCCGTAAGTTCCATGGAAATTGAGATGTACAATAGGACGAGGGAAAGGTGAAGTTACTTTGTGTTTTTCAAGTATAAAAAGGATTAGGATCGCAAAGTTTGTATCTTCTTCAAAACGATTCTTTCATCTTACCAAGAGCCGAAAGATACGAAGAGGACGAAGGGGGGAAAAACAGTTAGTGAGAAATCTGAGTCTAATACAGAAGTTTGTTTTACGGAAAGAAGTGTCTGATGGTACAACAAGCTCACTGTTCTTTCTTTTCTGAACTAGATTAGTAACATTCATCTTTCTAATGACATACATGAGTGACCATTAAGCCTCTAATCTACTTTTTTAATACTCTACTCCATTTATTATTTCCCGTGATATACATGCACAACAGCCTCGTTCACGAATCAACAACATAAACCATATTAAAGAGAGCCAATATTTTACCTGTTGGTTTGGGACTCCCTGTTGAAAGGGCTTGATCCTCCACCAACTTAAAAGCAGTGCCATCAGACTACTCGTGAATCACTCTAATGTCCTCGAACACAAATATTTCGGGCATTCCATGCCTAGGTCCGTTTAGTCAATGCAAGTGATCAGGTCATCCGATTGCCAAACATTGAAGTCCTTAAAGCAGGCATTCTCTAATTCGCACAAGATTTTTCCTATTTTACCATTGACACTATCAGTACCAACAGTGCCATATAAGTCTCCAACCAAATTTAAATCCCATTAGCCCGATTATATAGGTTTCCAGAATTTGGCAAGCGGGTATTTGAATCTTCATAACCATTGTAGTACTTAGGAAGTCCCAATCTCTCATTTCTGAGTAGTTCTGCCATACCTAAAGCATTCTCACCCTGCACCGTATTCCACCCATCCCATTGGCCATTGGATGTTACAGCATTTCTAGGCTGAGGAAGAGTGAACTGGGAAAATGGGGACAGGTTGTTGGTTAGGGTTTGCTCTAGCACCCTAGAAGGAACTCCATAAGCATCGCCAAGGGGAGAATAACTGTCACCCGGGTCTGTAAATCTCTGGTTTTGATGAGTAGGAACTGATCTTTGTAACAAGGACTGGAATCTTAATTCTTCAAGCGTACTATACTGCGGAGAATAACTTAATCTTGCACCCAAGCCTGAGCTGTTTAGGCTACCAGGAAGTATCCCTTTGCCAACTGCCAAAATTGCAGGATCCATAAACTCAATTTCGGCATTACTAATAGAATCACCACTTGGGGATGCCTGATACCGATTTCTTGGCAAAAGCGAAGCATCGGGCATATAATTTCCTGCACAAGACAGAATAAAATGATAATTCAAAACCAAACACAAGATTTTTAACATGAAGTAAAAGTCCGAAAATATTAAGTGCCTAGCATAAATTAACGGACCAGAGTGTGGGTCGAATATCCGCCCTGTCTTCTCGTGAGAAATAAAACCGGGAGGTGGTACCCTACTAGGCACTGAGAAACCCGGGGGGGCAGAAACTTGAGATCTTGAAACTGTTCAAAGGCACCCAGAAAAAATGTTTTGAGAGAGAAAAATAGAAAGCTACATAAGAATAAATTCCATCAGATGGAAAACACAAATTGAAAATATCCCTAGGTTTCTCATGAGGCACAAGAATATTTTGATCAAGAAAGAACTAAATTGAACATGTATACTTCGCAAGTGTCAATTTCCATGACAAGGTTACTAATATATCCGAGAAATAAAAAGAAACTTACAACCCCGCCAAGTCAACAACAAACTATGAATAAACTTCATTGAAATTCGTATAAATCGCAACTCACCAGGAACCTTGTTAGAAGAGATGTAAGAATGACTGCTGGCAAAATTATCTGACTCCACACCATTAAATAAAGATAGCCTATTGTGAGAACCAAACTTTTCAAGATGAAAGCTGTTGCTGTCCCCCCCCCCCCCTTCACAACAAGGGTTCGCACCAATAAAAAAAAGGCATGGGTCCCCTGTTGTGAGGGGCCGTTAGCCGCCATGTAGAGGGGGCTGTAGCTCTGGCACTTCTCCAAAAAAGATAGCATTTAGCCCCCATTTGAGTCTCATTATTTCTCATTATATTAAATTAAATTTTTCGCTTTCCTACTTTTAACCACACAATTTTTAATAAAATAATATTACACGTAAATTAAAAATTTTTCAACTACACATTTTTCAATAAAAATATTATTCATCTCATTATAATGCCAAATAATGGGCTCAAACACACCCTTAGTTTTGAATTAAATTACTTGCACATTCTTTGTGCGTAATAAGTTTGACATTTCGTGAAGAATCAAGTTTTATGTCATTGATTATTTAAAGTGTTGTTAAAATTAATGTATAAAAATTTGTTATGTCACAGCATCAAACTTGATGTACATAAAGGAAAATTGCTTAGCTTTAGTGGTCGGGTCACAAATTAGAGGTGGCGTAAATTGATTGGGTGGCGGGTAGTTGAGGTTACCGGATTTGGAAAGCAAATGTAGGAGTAAAAGGTGAGTTTAAGGTTGGACAATTACCTTAAGAGGAAGGTCCCCCGTATTTGTCCTTAAAGCATAATTGATTCTCTCTCTACCCCCATTCATCTCTCTCTCTCTCTCTCTCTCTGTATACGCGCCTTTTTTTTTTCCTTAAATAAATCGACCTTCGCTAAGGGCTTGTTTGTATAAATCATTTGAAAATAAATTTTATGAAAGTGATTTTTTTTTTAATGTATCATGAAGTAAGAAAAATTTATGGGTCCTTGTTCAAAAATATTATATTAAGAGTCTGTTTGTGAGTGATTTTGAGAATTGATTTTTTAATCGTTAGGAGAAAAGTGGGATCCACCTGTGAGAGAAGAGGTCAAATATGATTACTGAAATAGTAAAATAACGGTCAAAAAATCAATTTTTTTGGTGAAAAAATCGAGCCCAAACAAGCCCTAAGAGAACATGTCGTTGAAAATTAATTTTAAAAAAATTTGTATCGAACAGGGATTGAGTAATTACATAACCTTCACATGTTAAGTTTGTGAATTTAGATTTTATTTTCCACCTTAAAATTTGAACTACGACATGTTTTCACGCGGGGCTAATAATAATTCAATAGATGTCATATGTTTGTTCATCTTTACGAACTGATTATGCAAGTATAACTCGATGTTGAAGATCGATTTGTTTATTTTTAAAAATCAAGGATAAATGGCCACTTGTTGATAATTTAACAACTAAATTCACAAATTTCTTTATAAATAATTAGGTTACGTAACTACAATAACAATTGAATAAAAAAATAAATCACGTGATTCATTACAGTTGAAATGTTAGGGCAAGTGCCAAAGTTTGATTTGTGAGTAGCAATTAATTTGTTTTAATACTAGAAAACTTAAGATTGAAGTGACATGATTCCACACATATGGAGGGATCCACCAAAGTGAGATTGATTGATTTCACTATTATTATTATTAATATATTTTCGTTTTAGAATTCACGGGATTTAAGTTCAACTTGAAATTATGTCGTATTTAAAAAATATAAATAAGATAATTTGTATATTCAAACATTCAAACGTGATTTTTAATAAGAGACCGTCTTAAAATTATCAACAATGGCTTGTCATCTCTTATACTATGGTCATGAGATGTTCATAAATTCATCGTAAATTCTTCTCACAAAATGTAGGGCATAGCTTTATCGTGCACCGAAAGAATAATTTCTTTCTTTTTGTTTTTAATTTTGGAATATTTTAAGTTGATTGCACTTTGAATCCAACTAAATTTCAAAAGGTACAAGCAATATTTCACAAGTTACATGGGTAGCCAACTAATTTCCCCAACTACCCTTAGAAATTATTGAAATTTGAAATCTTAATAGATTTTATTGGTAAATAACATTTAGGTTAAAGTCAAGAAATGCGACTTCATAAAGTAAAAGAATAGAAAAAGGAAAACGTGGTAATTCCTTGTCCGAGGAAATATAATTTTTTTTAGCAGCTTTCGAAGGTTTGATTTGAATAATTCGTATTTTAATTGAGAAAATACAAGTGGTCCAACAAAATCGCATCGATAATTATAATATTTAATTATTATCTTGCTGGATTGATCATTGATGCCTGAAAAAGAAAGAAATTGTCGGACCACTCAAAAGATTAGGGTTTAGACATTAACGAAATTTATTAATAAATAATTGTAGATTTTTTAAGGTTCTCCCCCCAACTTGTTTGCCTTACGAATCACGTGAATTTATTAATTAATACTTGATGATTCATTTAGAGAACAATGATTGCGTGTATAATAATACGAGGTACCATTTTATTTATCACGATGAAAGTTTTTTTTTTTTTTTTTACGTTAATTTAGATCTTAAATATTTAATTATTTATCTTTTAATAGTTAAGATAATCGCAATTAATCGTCTAAATAAAATATTTCACAGATGAATAATTTTTTAAAGAATTTTGCAACAATTATATCATCGATATAATGTTTAACATGTTGAATAAATATGAAACACTTGTCAATAGTTTGAAATGAAATTATAACATTAGCAATAAGTGATCGTGGAAGACAAAAGTGTGTCCTTATCTCCTCTCTTTATTTGGTCCACTCTCTCGTATCATAGTCTACACTCTTGAAATCTTAACAAAATGAAAAGTGTTGTGTTTTATTTACGACATGCTTTGAGGTATTATTCATTTATTTTTTGTAATCAAAGTTTAACGTGAAACATTGATCAACATGACTCGACTATAAAGAATTGTTTGCTTCTCCTTGCACAAATCAAGTTGTGGTCTTAAAATATCAGGGCTATGAACAATTCGATACTTTATGACATCTCTATATCAATTTTAGAAATTTCAATCGAACCATATAGGTCTCGATTTATTAATAATTTTAATATAAATTATCTTTCTTCACCGATGATCGAATGGTCTATGTTGTACCTACTACCCTTCGGCGGAACATTATTTTTGGGAAAGCATATTCTTAATATGGGATTGGACGAGTCTTAGTTGTCCAAACACGTGACTACAAATACAAGAAAAGAAAAGAGAATTTGGGAACCTTGAAAGTTGAAATGGGTGAGTTTTAATTGGCCTGTCCGAAAATGGAAAAAACAAGAAAAATAAGAAAACAAAGTGGCGATTAATTTGTCCTTTTATATATTTTTGTTTTTCTTTTGCCTCTTTTGTTCACTTGTCCTATTACTTGTTTGTTTCCTATGAAATAGACAATAAGTTTGAGTAATATAATTTAACTTGTTCGATTTTGCTCTTTAATATTTAAGATTAATTTTAATTGTTAAATACTTTTTGGTACAATTACTTATTGTAAGAAACAATAAGCAAACGTTATGGAGACAATGAAAATTTTACTTAAATTGAAAATTGACGAAAATTTTCTAATGAAATCTTGCACGTCCAACTAATTGAGGTGGGCAGGTTAAACGACTAATGTATTTCACTTTTTTATACAACTTTTTCAACTAACGAAGTTGGTCGAGTAAAGGGTTAAACTGAAGGCCATTTCTAATAAAAGAAAATTACTTATTTTGACAAAAACCATAATCGAAATCACATACGCCCGCTTTCAGTAAAAGTTCAAACAGAAATAAACAAATACTTATTTTGATGAAAACTAAAAAGAAATTATCATAAAAGACAAAAGTAAAAAAAAAATAATAATAAAAAAAAAACCTCACAGGGAGAATGATAAATGTTCCTCCATCTTCTTCCTTGGATGTACAAGAAAACTTCCATCTTTGCCTCTTTTGTTCACTTGTCCTATTACTTGTTTGTTTCCTATGAAATAGACAATAAGTTTGAGTAATATAATTTAACTTGTTCAATTTTGCTCTTTAATATTTAAGATTAATTTTAATTGTTAAATACTTTTTGGTACAATTACTTATTGTAAGAAACAATAAGCAAACGTTATGGAGACAATGAAAATTTTACTTAAATTGAAAATTGACAAAAATTTTCTAATGAAATCTTGCACGTCCAACTAATTGAGGTGGGCAGGTTAAACGACTAATGTATTTCACTTTTTTATACAACTTTTTCAACTAACGAAGTTGGTCGAGTAAAGGGTTAAACTGAAGGCCATTTCTAATAAAAGAAAATTACTTATTTTGACAAAAACCATAATCGAAATCACCTACGCCCGCTTTCAGTAAAAGTTCAAACAGAAATAAACAAATACTTATTTTGATGAAAACTAAAAAGAAATTATCATAAAAGACAAAAGTAAAAAAATAATAATAATAAAAAAAAAACCTCACAGGGAGAATGATAAATGTTCCTCCATCTTCTTCCTTGGATGTACAAGAAAACTTCCATCTCTCTCTCTCTTCCTTCACTGTGTAAAAAAGGCATCTCACATTGGTCGATGATTTTATGCTCCTTTTTGCAATGCAATCATAAATTATCTGTCTTTCTGTCTCTATATATAAAAATTGAACTCTGCATCAAACATACTTTGCCTTGAATACCCATTAGCTCTGATCAGCTTTCTTTCCGATGTCCCTATATGTTAATTCTCGTCAAAGAGAGTATAGAAAGAGAGAAGAAGAGATGTTTGATCTTAATCTGAGCATTGATTTGAATGGGAAAGTGAATTTTGAGGAAGATGAATCCCCTGTAACGTCGACTTCATCTGTTGTAAATGGGGAAGGCTCCAGCACGTGTTCCCCCGAAACCTCGTATACATTCAACTTCGCCATCCTCGATAGAAATAGCCCAGTTGTGAAGGATCGTGGCTTGACTGTACCGGAGCCCGTGACTCGGGAGCTCTTCCCGATGAGTGAAATCGGTGAGTTGAACATGGGGAAAGCCAATAATAATGTTGATCAACGTTTTACTAACTTTGAGTCGAGTAAATACGATAGGGAAAGTATGCTTGAAGGTATAGATCGATATAATTTCTATATTGTATCGGGTTTGCACTTTTATGTTCGAAAGAGTTTGTTCGTTATACAATACAAACTACGCAGGTAGCCAAAATGATCTAGACCTAAACTTGGGGATTTCGACCTCTTCCCCAAAGGAGAATGAGTGTTTGGCATTGCCTCAGTTCCAACCTTACGATGTACAAAATGCAAGAAAATCGAAGGTACGATGAATTCAATAATACATTTCTTTGTAGTAGCATTGTTGATAAAAACACTCTATTTGCTCTTGAAGATACAGATGGATTCACCTCTTAAGGGACTGCCATTAACGACATCGCGGGCTGGTCTAAATCCTAACTTAGTTTCCTTCTGCGAGGTAAATTTATCGACTGTGTTAAGATTTATAGGCTCCATTTGACAACTGCACCATCTCCATTTTAATTCATTTACCGGCCACGAAAAGGAGAGTAATTTGGGTGAAATCTAATACAGTTCCAACTTTCATGATCAAAATGATCCGGGGTGTGTGACATTAATTTTGAACAAGAATTCATTTGTATTTAGGTAAACAAAGTGATTGGAGTGATAAATTTCTGAATCTTGATTTCTTAATTGTGGTTGAGAAACTGAGGAAATAAAAACATGCCAGACGCGTCTAAGATTATGGGATAATTTGGCAGGAAAGGGTGGCGGAGAAGAGAGTTGAAGTTTCACAAGGACTACCCTACTGGGGGTGGCGAGTGGACAGTCAAGCCATTCCAATGGCGATTTTCTCTCCTGCAGCATCATCAGGATTCTCGTCACCAGCTACCACTTCTCTCTCAACAGACAAATCTCTATACCATCTTCAAACTAGGCCACCCCCATAATGTCTCTCTGCCTGCTTGAAATGTGGATGTGCAGAAGTTCGGAAACGTTTCAATTCTGCCGAGGACTTGTGTCGCTGTCTGGTGCCAGTGGGATGATCGGCCGAACAGAGGCTAATGGTTTTTATTCTTTTATTGGTGTTGTTGATATTGTTTCTAATCTCGAAAAGATTTTTTAGTTTAAAGGAGCAAAAATCATTAGCACATCGCGCTGTGCTAAACTTGCCCGATAGTAGTAGTAATCTTCATCACGTGTCATATCATGTGCCAATAAGAAAGATTGAGGCATCCTTGGGATGAATTGAAATAAGAAGTTAAAAGAAGTAAAGAAACGAAAAGGAAAGCAACAGGAGGGATGAGTTATGGGTTGGAAGGCTTGGGGTGAGCCGAGAAGATGCAAATATTTTTCTTTCTATTATGGATTGTTATATTTTCACCACGAAGGTGTTTTTAATTCCACCGCACTTCTAATTATTTTTATGAGACTTAATCGTATTAAAGGTTTCAACATTTACTTATTATTGCACTCCAGTTTCTATAGGGCGTAGGCCTCCCAAAAGGTAACAAAGGCGTGCAAAGGTTTCTTTGGGCCGGACAGGATGTCTTATCGTCAACTTTTCATTTCACTAACTAATACACCAACTTCTGCTCATGTTGTTTCCTTTTCGTGATTTTGGTTTTTATATTTTCATTTCAAAAACACTAGCAAAACTTTCGAACTGGTGATTATATTCACACATTTATAGAAGCTTTTAGTCTTTACTTATTGTCATGTTTATATTCTTGGGACAAATATTTATTTTAGTTTTCATTTGTTTTTCTTCTTCTTTTTTTTTCTTTTGCTTATTTATAAATATAATGTCATAAGTCTTCTTGCTGGAATTTTTGGACGAAAATCATTGTTAAATACGAGTGTTAATTTAGTTGGAAGGCTTGGGGTGAGCCGAGAAGATGCAAATATTTTTCTTTCTATTATGGATTGTTATATTTTCACCACGAAGGTGTTTTTAATTCCACCGCACTTCTAATTATTTTTATGAGACTTAATCGTATTAAAGGTTTCAACATTTACTTATTATTGCACTCCAGTTTCTATAGGGCGTAGGCCTCCCAAAAGGTAACAAAGGCGTGCAAAGGTTTCCTTGGGCCGGACAGGATGTCTTATCGTCAACTTTTCATTTCACTAACTAACACACCAACTTCTGCTCATGTTGTTTCCTTTTCGTGATTTTGGTTTTTATATTTTCATTTCAAAAACACTAGCAAAACTTTCGAACTGGTGATTATATTCACACATTTATAGAAGCTTTTAGTCTTTACTTATTGTCATGTTTATATTCTTGGGACAAATATTTATTTTAGTTTTCATTTGTTTTTTCTTCTTCTTTTTTTTTCTTTTGCTTATTTATAAATATAATGTCACAAGTCTTCTTGCTGGAATTTTTGAACGAAAATCATTGTTAAATACGAGTGTTAATTTGAAAAAGAATGTAATGAAAAAGTTGAGAATGGAAATGTAATAATGAGTTAAGATTATGACCTTTCATGTAATTAAATTGTGATGTAATTATTAAAAATGTAGTACAAATACATCTAACCTAGCTTCTTCGTTTTTTTTTTTCTTTTCCAAATTTAAAAGCAAGTAATAAATACTTAATTTTATGACATTTGATGGAAGTCCTCAAATTTGGTACGCTTATTGTGCCCTTGTTTTCACATTATTCGTAGTATTTTCTTTCCCCATATACTATTGACAAACTCAAAATTACTGCATTCTCAAAAACACGCTTTATTATGGCATTTTATAATTACATATTTTCCTCCAAACATTTTTTGGTACTCGTCCATTTCACCATTTCCACGTTGATTCAGCTACAGATTTTTCACCAGCATGTGAATTCATTGAATTTTGTGAAAACGATCTCGATCATACTCTCAAGTAAATAAGCAAAAACAAAACTATAAGGGGGTGTTCTCTTTGTGTTTCAGTTTTGTGTTTTGAGTTTTGAATTCATTTTGAGTTTTGTATTTTGAGTTTTTGTTTTGAAATTCTTGAAAATGCGTTCTTTTTGTTAGTTTCTCAAAACAAAAAAAAATAATTTTTTTTTTTAAATTTTGAGAATCACCACAACACCACCTCAAAACACACAAAAAAAAAAATTAATTTTTATTATTTTTTTTTTTGAAATTTTGAGAATCACCACACTATCTCTTAAAAAAAAAAAAAATTTTTAATTTTTAATTTTTTTTTTAAATTTTGAGAATCACCACACCACCTCCTCAAAAAAAAAAAAAAAAAAAAAAAAAAAAAAAAAAAAAAAAAAAAAAAAATTTCTTCTTTTTTATATTTTTTTAAATTTTT